AGGTAATCCTAGACTAGAGCTATCTCCTTCTGGAACCCAATTGTGGAAAAAGTCAAAAAAAGAATGCCAAGCTGGAAGTGTGCCTTTCTTTCAAGAGGGGGAAGATTAACTTTGATTCAATAGGTGTTAGGAAGTTTACCAATTTATTTTCTATCTTTGTTCAAGATTCCTAAAGGAGAAGTCAGGAATCTGGAAAGCTTAATGCAGAAATTCTTATCGGCTGGTGTTGGTGAAGATAAGAAAGATCACCTCATTAAATGGGACACAGTTTCAAAAACCTAGAGAGGAAGGGGGTTTAGGTATTGGCAATCTATTGGTGAGAAACAAAGCTTTGTTAGCTAAATGGTTATGGCGTTTTCCAGTCGAAAGTGATTCCATCTGGCGTAAAGTGATTAGAAGCAAGTATGGTCTCAGTGACAATGGTTGAGATTCTAAGATAGTTCGGTTTGGAACAAGTAGAAGTCCTTGGAAGGATATTTCCCAAGGGTATAGTTCTTTTCTCTTTGTTCTTGGCAAAGGAGATTGAATTAGATTTTGGGAAGACATTTGGCTAGGCGAATTACAAGTCACATTTCCTAAGTTGTTCAACTTATCCAAGTTTCATAACAAGAGTATTTCTAGTGTGGCTAGTTTTGCTGAACTTTCTTTGAATTGGGACTTTGGGTTTCGAAGGAATTTTCGTGATGTAGAATTAAACAAATTGTCATCTTTCCTGACAAGTTCAGATCAGGTTTGTATTCACCCCTCAAGGGTTGATGCAAGAAATTGGATACTTGATTCTTCAAGAAGTTTCTCTGTTAAATCTTATTGCGATTATCTTCTCAAAAGCTGTGCTGATAGGGTTTTTCAGGCTTATGGCCTGGTTTGGAAATCTAAAGTTCCTAATAAAGTGAAGGTCTTTACTTGGTTAGTGGCTCATGGGAAAATTAACACTTGTGACATGCTCCAAAAAGGGCAACCTAGCTCATGTCTACAACCTGATTGGTGCATTATATGCAAGAAAAGTTCAGAGTATGTTGACCATCTGTTTCTTCACTATCCAGTGGCTTTAAATCTCTAGTTGAAGTTGTTTAAGGAGTTCGGTATCAGTTGGGTTTTACCCAGGCATTGTTATTCTCTTATGGTTGAGGAACATAAATTATCAGGATAGGGGAAGAAAATCAAGGTCTTACGGGGATGTATAGTTTCAGCTATTTTTTGAGTCATTTGGATGGAAAGAAACAAGCAGATTTTTAAGAACAACGAAGGCAGTAGAAGGGAGGATATCTGGGATAATGTTCGGTTATGGTCATGGGCTTCAGTTACTACAGAATTTAGAGATTTGTCTATTTCAGAAATTTGGCGTAACTGGAATGCGGCTATTAGTTAGTTTTGTATTGTTTTTATAGTTTCTAAATGTATGGGTGATGGTGCTATTTATCTTGTTTTGTTTGTGTCTTTGTGGACTTCTTGTCCGCTTTTGTATTTTTATTGTTTCTTTGCAATAAAAATTTATTTCTTCATCAAAAAAAAAAAAAATATTTCCTTACTAATCACATTCTAACAATGGTAAACCAACAAAGATCATTTGAAGATAAGCAGACTGTTAACATGTACACATGTTTAGGCACCCAAAGAGGCAAAAACTATAATAGAAAAAAGGAGAATATAATAAATTCATAAAACTCACAGGATGGCCAGAAAACTTCTGTATCTTTTTGTGGTTAGACAAATTGAAAATCTTCACTTGTGCAGCCGCAGTTGCTAATATTTTCCCATCTGGTGCAGAGAAAAGGCCATCCACAATGTACTATCAGAAAAAAACCAAATGGCACAATCTAACAATATGATTTAATTTGTACGCACATGAAGCTGGTCCTTGACAAATATTGCAAAATTTTACTTTTTTTTAGCATTAACTACTACACACTTGGATGTTAGAACTACAATTTGCTTTAACATACAACAGACAGAATATGACAGGTATTACATGCACGATAAATATCTGACCGAAACCTAATAACCAAGACCCTCTCCACCTATATATATATATATATTGAATGGCCAACTCTACACCTCCACAGGAACCGCAACTAGAACTAATTTCACCACTGGAATTCCTTTTCTCTGTTTGTGACTTATGACAAATCAGTTCTTGGCCAGCATTAGTTACCAACTTGCCATGCATAACCATCATTAGTTATCATTTCTCAACTTAATTAGTTACTGAGACAACATAAAGGCATGGCTAATAATCCAGTCAAGACAGTTCTCAGTGATGGTTATCCACTTTCGCATCTCTCTTAAACTACAATCCTGGTAAAATCTTGGTTTATGGAAGAGAATGCTCATTGGCTTGGCATAAATATTGGCAGTCGATCATGAAATCTTGAATCCAGATGGTATTATTCGTAAAGTAATTTTAACTGAGCAGTATCAAACACAAACCTTAAGCAGAATAATGCACTAAGCAATAGTAACAGAAGATGTAGGGTGATGAATATATACATATGTAACATACCTGATGAAACAGACATCGAGGAGATTGCCTTAGTGGAAGCTTTGAACTTCCCTGACAGGTTTCCCGTCAAAGAGTCAATTTCACAAATCATACCATCAGCACCAGCAGTGTAAATACACGATGCATTTCTTGCAAATGATATGGAGCTAACACCACTGCAACAACAGAACATGCAAGAGAAAGATTAAATAGGCGGCCCGAGAAGTCAAAAACATACATTAACACAAGGCATTTATATACATTAACATAATATGTAGACAAATAAGAAAGTATAAGCGGGGAGCTAACCCAGCATGGCAATCGTTAACTCTCCACTTCAAATGCCCAGCAGCCACATCAAGCGCCAGAACATCGCCGCCACCGGTTCCTAAAACCAAAAATGAGGAACCAAGCTTCCTCTTCTTCTGCAACAATGGACGGCATTGCACAAAAATAAAATTAATTTCACAAAAAAAGTTTACTACAGCTTACTTGTTAATCTAAAACGAAAGCAAATTCACAACCTTTCGTTCAGAAGAGAACCATTTCATGCAAGTGTAATCAACTGAGAGGTGCCCTCTTTCTCGTTTAGCACATATGCTTGTATCTTCCGATGCTACAATGTCTGTAAACTCAGTCTGGACCTGCCCCTTCACAGTATCCCAAATCTAACGCATACCCAGAAACTGAAAATTAGGGTTTCATAAGAAATAGAGAAATAAGTCAACCAAATTCCATAAAATTACAGAAGTACCTTGATTCGACCGTCGCCGGAGCTGATGGCGAACAAGTCCAGAGACGGACTAAACGCCGTCAGGAGGTCTCTGATGTTTGACGAGGCCATGCCGGAAGTTGGGGATTGGTCGTAGAGGACAAGGATGAGCTGCGTACAGGTGCAGAGCTTAAACCCTAAACCCTAGAACGAGGAGAAGAGAAGAGAAGAGGGTTAGGGCAGCTGAAGAGTGATGGCGGCAAAGGCTCTGCTTTTCGTTTACGGCGTTATTCGTTGTTAATGTGGGCTGTTTTCAAATGTTGGGCCTTGTTTATCTACCGGCCCATTTTTATTTTTATTTTTTTCAATTTGGATCCAACGTTTACTTTTTTATTTTTTTATTTTCTTTTTTCAGTCGAAAGATTAGATTTTATCCAGTAAAGTCTAATTGATAAGTTTACATCCTCAGCATAATATTAAAAAGAAAATCGGGACCAATACAAACCCAAATAAAGGAACCTCTTGCTGATTGCATGAAAGATAATACAACGTGCGCTGCTTTGTTGGTTTCTCGATGAGAAAACACAAACTCCACATATCCCTTGCAACTTGCAAGGTGCCATATATCATGTAAAATACCTTCCAAAATCTATTTTATCTTTAAAACACAGGGAAAATAACTTTATGGAAGGGTGGAATTATTGCATATTTCACAATGTCGATTCCCAATGATGATATGTTGATCAGCTATTGTGAGACAACGATTGTGTAAAAAAATTCTCTAAAATTACTTGACGTTCAAAATTGAGAGGTGATGTTTTTCAAACAATTAGAATAACACACCACACGTGTATTTTACTTTCCAAAATACAAACTAATGTGTTTCCAATTAGCATTCCCTAATTCACTCCTTAAAAAGAAGACAATATCATTTGTGTGTTTGAACTTGTGATTATTATGGCTTCGGACCAAATCATATTGCTAAAACATGTTACATTCTTAGTAAATCAATTTTGTTGGCAGGTACTAGATATTATGGTTATGACTTGTGACTTACGGCGGACAATCATAACTTACAACTTGTTTTTCTTTTCTTTTCTTTTTTAAGAGTGAAAAGAGGCACAAACTTGGATAAAAAAAATTTAAAAATTTAAAAAAAAGGGTATAGACAAATTTTCGTGACGTCTTCACGTGTTATGAATTCATGTGACATAAAAAGAATGCGATAAAGCTTAAACCTCCAGATTTAGTGACTAAAATTCTAAGGTTTTGGAAACATTTTGATCATAAAACATAAATAAGAGATCTTACTAGGAAGAAAAGTACAAGAGGTAATGCTTACGAAATAATTAGATTTGAACTTAAAACTTTGTTAAACGTTGAAAAGAGAACATTCATTATACTTAGATATAGTATATTCCACACGACATTATTTTATCATCCATACTTTTTCTTGGAGAAGTATAACAAGGGTCAACACTTGGACATCGTTTCCCTCATTCCGACAATCGATCAAAACCCTAAACCACGAGCCTCATGATATTCACTAACAAGGACATAACACACACCCCATAGAGCTAGAGTTTGGCAAAACAGTCCCCACATGAAACTTATAGGGCATCCCCTTTGTCTTAACTTTAGGGACAAATACCCACTTTTTATAAAAGCACATCAGTATCAAACCAGTACTAACAGTAACGGGGTTTTCTTGAGCGTAGGACACACCCGAGCATAGTAAAAACTCGCACACAAGGACACCACACGCACCCGCATTTTGGGTAAAAAAGTAATAAAATTTAAACAGAAAAATACTAACAAAAAGCCGAGTTCCCTTGCATCATCACTACCAAAAATTTGCTTACACATGAATGAAGAAATGAAGCTGTACAAATAATCTGCAGAATATAAAAGAACATGCGAGACTGCAAATCTACAGGATGAAAAAGAAGATGAAACAAGTAATCTGAACATGTGTCTTATTTAAAAGAATGTGGTCTAATTTTGAATGGCAATGGTAGAAAATCTTTGGTTCTTTCCCTCATTGTAGATTTTGGCTGAAAATTATAACCGGAGTTCGGCGGAATTGGTATCATAAGACCGCGGCTTTTCCATTCACGGTGAGCAGCGAAATGTGGGCGGAGGAAGGATTTGAATACGAGGTATTGAGGTCGGAACATGGTTCTGGAAAGACAGACTCAGAAGAGCCGGAAACATACGAACAATCCCAAGTAGTGGGAGAAGCAGAATTTAATGATAAGGAGATGTTGGATAGAAAGAAAGAAGTGAATGGTGATTCTTCGATGCCAGTGAAGCGTCCGGCAATGGTGATGTTTGTGCCAACAACGTCTTGCAATGTGATGTGATCCAAAACAGGGAGAGCGTTAGGATCATATTTGTCATCAGGATGAGAACCAAACTGGCCAGAGGCACCAAATGCCATGTAGATGTTTTCTACTTCTACATCTGATATGATGATGTCTGTGATGTAACCGCCTCTACCCTTTGTTGTTCGGAACTGAATGCCGCTAAAGGAGTTGTGGAGGCGGACCTGCTCAACAAGTACGTTAGAAATGCCACCGGACATCTCACTACCAAAGGCAAGAGAAGAACCAGTAGCTGATTGTAAGGTGACATGCCGGATGTGTACATTTGTGGTCGGTCTTCCATAGGCAATACCGTACTCATCCCAACCACTCTTGAGGGCAATGGCATCATACCCCATGCCAATGGTGCAATCTTCTATGCACACAGTATCAGAAGAATCTGAAAGCACAGAGAAAATTAGTTTGAGTTTCGCCAAAAAGTTTCTTCGCTTTCAGTTATTTCCAACAACGGAAAATTCAGGATGCACATAGAAAATATGTTTGTAAAAGTGGGGAGGGAGCTCAAATTTTATCCAACATTTCTACTTCCATTTTTCGGGATAAGAACAATACTTAAACGTAAATTCATAGCAGGAAGTCAAGAGATGTCACAAACCTGGGACTATTCCGACAGTATGAGGGGAGTCCGGAGGAGCAGATACAGATATGTTGAGAACATGTACATTACTGCATTGCATTCAATTATAAATATAACATTAATATCTTCTATAACCGAAAAACGAATAAAAATGAAAGAACAAGTGCGCAATCATCAGTGTCCTTAGCTCACAGACCTGCAGTAGACTGGATGGATGTTGTAAGCGGGAGCATTTATAAATGTGAGGTTCGAAACCACCACGTATTTAGACATAACGAATTCCACAAGATGCGGACGGCTGTAGTTCAGAGATTGGGAGCTAAACCAATCCCACCAAACCGATCCCTGGCCATTGATGGTTCCATTATCACCTATGCATTCACGAGCAAATGAGAATCAGGCCGCGCGGATAAAGAACATGTTAAAAGCAGCAAACGAAATTCAGAGAGATTCTTCATACCTGTTATGACCACATCATGTAACATATATCCATTTATCAAGCTACGATATCTCCTCCCGGGGAGTTCAATCCCTCGACCGTACGAGGGTAAAGGCTCAACAATTTCCCAATGGGACGGATCCTAAACAAGCAATACCACAAACATTTCAACAAAGCGAAAGACGAAAGCATCTCCAACTGATTTAAGCGTTCACCAGCATCTCATTGCAGTGTAAAGCAATACCTGAGATCCAAGAATGACAGCATCCTTTTCCAAAAACAGTGTGAGGTGGCTGGTGAGGTTGAAGCTTCCGGTAAGCCACCTCCCCGGCGGCACATAGAGCTGAGCACCGCCCTTATCGGCGAAAGACTTGAGATAGAAGATGGCATTCTGAAAGGCAAGAGTGTTCAATGTCTTGCCATCTCCGACAGCGCCAAATTCTAAGATGGACACACTGTGCGGCCTTGGCTCTAATGTCAGTTTATTATCACACGGTTTCTCATCATCTTCTCCGTCAACTTTGACGGCATTACTCAAGGCCAGCAGCAGGAGAAGCACCACCTGAAAACGGTGGAAATTTAGAAAAAGCCACTGGTTCTCAGAACACTTCAGAAAAAAATACAAATTCATTGGACAAACAAATAAATCAAATTAAATTCAAGTACAAATAACGAGAATTTGAACAATTCAGCAGCAATCATGGGATTTTTCGAGAACATTTGACAGGTTATGAGTTGATCAATGCAAGCTACAGAGTGAACTATAATTAAACTCAAAGGTAGATTCAAAAAAAACAAAACAAAACCCAATTGAAAAACAAATCCAAACATCACACAGATCAACTGTTTTTTTACCAGACAGAAAAAAAAAAAACAAAAAACAAAAAACCCACCCAGAGAAATGAAAATTGAATCAGAAAAATCAAGACTTTGGATTCGAGATTGGCACAGAAACGCAGAGAGTAAAAAACCCAGAAAAAAGAAACGTACTTACTAGCATCTTCATGAGTGAAAGCTCTCTCTCTGCAGCAGGAGAGAAAGCAGTAGAACTGCAGAGCAGAGAATGAAAAGGAAGAAGAAGAAGAAGCAGAGCAACCAAAGAGCAAGGGCAGCCCTATACAGACATTAATTGTTGAATGACACAAAGCATAAATACTTATATATGGTAAAGAAAACTAAAACTAAAATTAAAATTAAAATCGGAAAATGGAAAATTAATACATGGTGAAAAATGGATTACAGAAAATGTAGCCACTGCAGAATGCCAGCTCTGGCATGCACATAGAAGCAAAACAAATCAGAATAAAAAGGGAATAAACTAATCTCATTTATTGCCACTAATTGATATTTACCGTCCTTAATCAATTATGATTAGTAACGTCTCTCGCCGACAGAATGTTTGAAACGGCCCTCCATTTGTGACACTGTAATTTTCACAGAAAAAAAAAAAAAAAAACCATAAATTTCCTAGTATTTACGGCTATCATTTTAGTTAGAATAGTGATATCCACCTTCTTACTTTTTATTACTGACACATCTTCTTAATTTTTGGTAATTGGTTTGAATAAATTGAAGAATATCAATGATAAAATATAAACAAGAATGTGTTATCAAATTTAAAATAAATGTATGAGTAACACTATCATTTAATTATAGTGTTTCGTATTCAAATTCTTTTTCTTTTTCTAATATATATTAGTGTAAATTCTTGATGTAAAAAAAAAAAAAAAAGCATTCCTCACTAAAGTGCGAAAAAAATTGGACTGCAACACACAAAGTATCATGCTTTAATAATTTAATATCCAAAATAACCATTCATAAAAAGTAAATCTAAAACATCTGATTTCGTCTAAAATGAAATTAAGCATTTGACTTAAAAGTACAGAATTGCGAAATTGAACTATTAGTGGCAAAAAATTACTATTTTCAATTGTAAAATGTTATAGAATCATATTTTTCGGACTATATTTTGTGAACCGTGGTAATTTATAGTTACATACTGTAATTGTGAACCGTCATATCATGTAACTTATATATTAAATTTAAGTTAACAATTGCTATACAATTTAAGTAAATAATCGCTTTAGCATATCTAGTTTTGTACTAGCGTCCTTGTTTGCTTACATTTGTTGAAAAGTGATTAGTTCAAAGTCCAGAAATAAAATCGGCGGTGATAAAATTCCTGGAGTTACACGAACCTATTGCGCCAGGTAAGCGAATTTAGGATGGTGGTAGGGGAGGAATGGTGAGACGGCGGGTGAGAGAGGGAATAAAATAAGTGAAGGAGTGCATGGGGCATTGAGACCGCATGTGGGTTGACAGAGCAGAGAGGGGAGAGGGGGAGGGGGAGTGGGGCCCGCAAGTCAATCATGGCAAAGGTGCTAGCCTGGCCTCAATTACTCGACTGGACACTCGACAGAACATAATACAAACACAAGGGGCCCAACTTCTGTGTGACACGTCATTTTATTAATTTAATTTTTTAATAGGCCGTGCATTTTGTTTTGCTTTGTTTTCGAAAAATATATTCCGTCGCTTAGTATTACGGTTTAGTGGTATTTATCTTTACTTATAAGTGAGATTTTAGATTCAATTTTTTCCAAAAACGAGTTTGAATCATATCATTGCTAGTTTATTATGAGGTTAAGCTTATCTCTTTCTTTTTACTATAGATGATATATTTTGTTAAAAAAATATAGTCCGAAAAAGTATGAAATTATATTATTACGTAGAAGGTGATGTGAAAATTACTGATTGGTTGGTTGCTTAAGGGATCTTCAATCTCCAGATGGCATAGAAATGGGCAAAAATTTCAAATGTTCATACTGATGAAGTTGTGGGTGTTCATACTTTATAATTGACGTTAGTTGTTGACTTACCGACTAATACTGTCATCAAGGAAACAAACGTTGACAGTCTCTGAGTCTTTTTTTCACGATATATTTTAGTAAATTTTTAAAAAATTAGCTGTTAAATAATTGGAGGAGCATCATAGTATTTTCATTTTTTCACAATATAAACGATCAATTCTTTTATTTATACAACAAGATCATGGGACAGAATTTAAGATACACAATGAACTATTCATAATTTGGTATAGAACTCATTGTTTATGAGATTAAATCTATGTTCTCTTATTTACAAGTGAAGAAAAATACTAGTAGACCGTAAATCTTGTAAATATAACTAATTGTGTTCACGACCTACTTATGTCTAACTTAGTTATATAACGTTGTACATCCTCTTACTTACATAAGCTTGTTTAACTTGTGTCTAGCTAGCATGATCCAAAGACATGTTTGCACAAAGCGTATCCATCAAACAATGCCGTGTTTAGTCGCAGAATTATGATTAGAATATGTGATGGGATGAAGAAGTGAGGTTGACTAAATCGTTAACTAACTTCGGCTTTACTAAGATTAGAGTTGAGATGTATAGCTAAAAACCTATGTTTCTGTCGAAAATCGTATGAAGTTAAATTTTTTTTATATTGAATGGTTCAACTACTAATTGTACTGATTTCTTTTTCTTTTTTTATGATAATACTCAAAACTAACCAAACTATGTAAGTAGTTAAGTTGTAACAATATTGATGTGATTAATAGTGCGACGCTAACCCCTAAAACTTTAACTTTTCTACCATTTATAAAAAGAGAAAATTTGAAATAGGTTTAATTTTATAGACTACCTTTTGAAATAGATCTAATTTTTAGTGACTTTTAACTTTTGAAATAGATTCAATTTTTAATTACTTTATACCCAATTCAAAAAACCCCTTATAAAAAACGGTTGGTCAAATGACTTAGATGTGTCCAATAAGGTACAAAATGTCAGAGAAGTTTCATTGGGAAGCATCTAATTAATGTAAAAGTTTGGTTATGATGATCATTCTTTTTCTCTTGTGCTCGGAGGATGCTCTTCCTTTTGCAAACCAGTAGCATTTGCAAGACATATTGTAATAAAGATCAAATTACTCCCAAGGGAGTGAGGTGGCCCTAATATTGTTCCTTCTTTAGGGTTTCGCTGTATAACCCAGAGACCCCTTTTTAGCATTGCCTCTTTTGATCATCCAACTTTTTGACCTACAAGTTTTGATCTATTTTTTCCCAAATCTCCCATCTCCAAACTGATAAATAAATAACTAAATAAATAATAATCTAAAAAGCACGTGCACCAAAGATTTCCAACTTTCAGATTTCTCAGTCTCTGAGTTTTATATAAAGAAGAAGAAGAACATGCACCAATCTTGTAGCTTTACTAGATCGGCAAAAGGCATCCATATATTCTTCTTCGTCGCCGTAAAGTTGAGCTTAGGAAATGTCGATGTGGGGCAGTGAGAATATCTTCATGCATGCAGCCGCAGTTTTTTTAGGTTAAAGATTTGAAATGTATATATTGAACAAAGGTAAAGCAAGACTTTGAAATATAGTTCACAGTTGGCAACACAAAAAGGTTGTCAATGTTTAGCTTCTTTCTTCTATTTTGATAAAATAGAAGATAAAATTGAACTCGAATCATTTCGAGATAAGTGTTTTACCATTAAAACTATCAATTTTCATGATATAGATCAACATTTTATGTCGTACCAATTTCTTTGCATGCAACATATGCATGTTATTGTGTAGTACTGAAATAAGTATAGTCGACTGATATATAGCTACTTCATTCATACATATATCATATTTGTGCGCTAAATTTGTGCATTAAAACACGTTCTACATCATATAAACTTTTATTAAAATTATTAAAAATTTATTACGATTATCAATTAAATTTTAATTTGAAATAAAGTACAAATTTAATTGATGACACATTATTTGGTACTGTATCTATAATTATTCTTTTACTATTGGGACCTTTTAGTATATAATTAAGGTGCTTTCTTTTTAGCACTCTTTTTAACTAAACGTATTTGTTGGCATTTTGAAACCCTCACCGAACTCCATGCTCCATCTATAGGTCTAGATAGACACTAAAAAAATTACTATAATAATTAACTAGCAAGCACCAAAAGAATGTACAAATATAAAAAGGCAGTGTTACGATCAATAAGATGACCTTGACGTATGCAATAAATTATATAATGCATCAATAATTAATAATTAATTACATTTTCGTACACCACTGATGCTGTTACAGCTTAAACTGATGATCGTGAGATGCAAACTCTAAACTATTTGTGATGATCAAGCTACGACATCTCACATCATATAATACTTAGGGTCTAAGTTTTGTACGTATATGATACAACCGCAACGACTAAGCAATAAACACTACCCAAATCGAATGGGAACTCAGATAAAGTCCCATGCATGACAAATGACAAACGTCCACGTTCCCCTACTTAGGGTCCAAATATAACCCTAGCTAGGCCCGCAAACTAGGGTTTTGTCCCAGTCAAACATTTATATTTGGTCAAGATCCACGTGGCATGATGGGAACACATCGTTGGCCGCTGTCCAATTAGGACCCTTCAAACAGTGCGCCCTATGGTGAGGTTAGCCGACTTGATTTAAATCCAAACCTTCACAAAAGATATTTTTCAGTGTGATTGGTACACGAGGTAGTACATCACGTGTCATTATATATGTGTGTTAAAAAGTTAATAATCTAAACATTAAAATTTTCTATCACTTATATAAAAACACGTAATATTTTATCTATATTCCCGTCACAATTAAAATTTTCATTTCCTCAACGTTGGCTGTCTTTTGTTTTTTCTTCAATTATAATGTAATTGTAAACTTGGACTGGTTGCTGTCTCTTCCTATTAAATTGACATGAAACTACAAGTCTACCAAGTTATACCATTTATAGATCGTTTTATAAGGCGCATGCCACATGGTGACCTAATAGTACAAATAATAAAGTTGGATTAAATTCCATTTTTGATGACTAGATTCTCTTAAATTCCAATTATATCCGTGACGAGTTTTATACAAGGAAAGTACAAAAGCATTTGTAGTTCATGTGGTTAAAAACTTTTGCTCCTGCACATGAGGTGTCGAGTTCGAACCCCTCATTCCGCTGGTATAAAAAAGGAACAGCGGAAGTAGTCTAGTTGATGGACCACGTTCAAACTCATCCGCATTTTTTCAATCTGAAAGCTGTATTCTTGAGCAAGTTTCATACGAATACAAAATATACAAGTTTCCAGTTTTTATGGATTGGACATTCATAAGTAGGCAAAAGCAAAAGGG